TTCTTTCTAAAAATCAATTTTTCAAAATAATTTGCTAGATTTGGACTCTTTGATGATTCATCGGTCTTGCATTGCACTCTGCGAGATTGGATACAGGACGGTGACATTTGAGTCCGAACTGTAGTAAGCCCCAATGAACAAAACGGGATTTCTCCCGGGACGTTCGGGGACGTCTACAATTGGTCCTGTAGCCTATCGCCTTGCACTATCACCTGAATAATCCAATGTCCACAATGTATTTCACGTTTCAATGCTCCAACGGTACCTCCGAGATCCAAAACATGTCGTCGACTATGAAAACCTAGAAGCTCAGGAGGATCTCTCTTACGAAGAGCAACCAGTGCAAATTCTCGATCCTCAGGATCAAGTTCTTCGAAACAAGATCATACCGTTAGTAAAAGTCTTATGGCAAAATCATCGTATTGAAGAAGCTACGTGGGAAACGGAAAGTCAAATGTGAGCCACATACCCACACCTTTTTGAAAATTAAGGTACGTCAAGTTTGGGGACAAACTTCTATTTAGAAGGGGAGAAATGTGACACCTTGAACATTTAATTAAATACCACATAACTATTTATAGTTATATATAATTGTGGTTGTATGTGATAATATATTATTAAAATAATAAATAAATAAATAAATATTAATAACAATAATAATAATAATAGTGGGTGTGGTAGTAAAATAAATAATAAATTTTCTATTGGTATGTGATAAAGTGTAAATTAATTAGGAATTAATTTGTTTATATAGTTATGTTAGAGAACTGGCCAAAGTGTAATTATCATAAATATTCATTAAGATAAGTATAGATCCATGGTGATTTATGATCAAATCTGGGGAGGGATTTGAGTTGTGCCACGTATTTGTCTCAGGGTGCTTTTACCTCTCTATAAATAGGGAGGAGTTGATCAAGATCTGTGGAAAGAAAAGGAAAAAAAGAAGGAGAGGCACGCAAGATACTGGAGAAGGTTGTGATAGTGGAAAGTATAGTTAAGGGTCAATATTAAGGTGAATTATATTATACCTTAAGTTACCATAATATATTTTACATATGTTTTGACTTACCATAATTTATTTTATACAAATTATATTTTATAAGTTATATTAATATTTTAATTAAGTGGATTAATTTCTGAACTCTATTTGTTTAAAATGAAACTTATGGATATGTTTGTTTAAATTTTAAAGAATATTTGACTATGACCTTATAAACAATTATGTTTTGCAAGTACCACCACGGGAGTCCCACGCATTGGGGGACTTAAATAATCATTGGCCTCTGTAAGGCTACTTTGTGGTCGTCTGTTTGTCATGGATCCATTGACCTTTGTTTTGACTGTCATTTCTGTGACCTCTGTTCTGTACTGTGGTTATGGTTATTTATTTATATAATTTATGTATTTCAGTTTTTGCCACTTAAATAATTTATGTACCAAATTAAATTATGTAAATGTTTTGGCTTCACCAACTGTCCATGGTTATTTTGTATTCTCTATACTCTTAGCATAATATTTCTCACTTTGCTGTGTGCTTATTGCTGTTAGTCTTTTAGGTGATGAGATGTAAGGAAAGCTCATAACCTCGTGTAGTGGAATCTGTGCAAGAAATTGATGCGCATCCGTTAATTTGTTTTTCTTTTCTTTTCTTTTCTTCTTGTCGTTTTTTCTAATGGCCGGTCGCTGCATAATAAAATAATAAAAGCCTATGGATGTACTTTTTTTAAAATAGTAGAATGAAGTAACTTTCTGTTTAATTATTTTTATTTCCGTTGGCCTCCGCCTGCACTGTTTAATTTGCTACGATTAGAATACGTTAGTAAGTTGTGATTCTAACCCTAAGTCCCTAGGGTTGGGTCGTGACATTTTTTTTATGTGTTTTTATTACTATTATCTTAATTATTATCTTAAATGTTTATATCTTAATTATTTCTATTCATGACAGTTATTTACCAATGGCTTTGTTATCCAAATAAATTCAACCGAATGTACAAGTGAAGGTTTTTGGAAATGTTTAATTTGTCTTAGAGATATATATTTTGTATGTGTTTTTATAACTTATTTACATTTAACTTGATCAAAAATTATGTTTTTTTATTTATTTATTAAAACCATAATTATTATTAATGATCATGGCATGTTTAGAAAAACACACTAGATTTTGCATACTAAATTCATAGATATGAGCGTCTCAATGTTTTCTTAATTCGTGGATAATTGTTCCCTATTCTTAATGTTTGCATTTTTTTATGTGCTTTTTTTTTAATTTTTTATTTATTTATCTCATCTTGAATGTAACCAGCTAAGTATTTAAATTAAATTTTGAATTTTTTTTTGTCTGATTTGCTACCAATGGTTTTATTATCCAAATAAATTTAACCGAATGTACAACTGATTTGGAAAAAAACATTTGATTTCCATACATGGTTGTTAATTTTTTTTAAGGTTGTATGAAAATTCTCAAGAATGTACAATTGATTTAGTATTACTTTTTTGTTTCTTAGTGTAACCAAGTACTTTTAGGTTGAAGCATACACATACTTTGTAAAGCTTTAACCGACTCTTTTGTAAAGCAACATATATATCGACTTAGGTGTATGGCAATATAATGTTTGTTTTGCTTATGTAGTTATAATTTGATTGGCAACAATAGTACTAGCAGGTGTGCATTGTTTGGTGTTTAATTGAATTATTATTATTATTTTTTAAATTGTAAAGTATTAGCTAGTTTGCATTCATTTTTTTTAGAATGTAGAGTACTGATTGGTATGCATTGATTTATTTGATTTGTTTGGAATTGCAGAGTATAGGCTAGTACGCATTGTCTGGTGTTTAATTTTTAATTTAATTTGTTGAGATCGCATAACACTTGTTGGTGTGCTTTATTTGATGTTTAGTATTATTTTTTTTTTTAAAGATTATAGAGCGTTAACAAGTGTACAATAGTTTTAATTTGTGTGTTTTGTTTAGTGTTTATAATTTTTTCTTAACTTGCTTTTTGCTTTTTTTTTTTTTTTTTTGATTAGCAAAAAAGATACTTTATTGATGAAAGAGAAAAGTACAAGGTACAAAACAATTTACATCAATAAAGAGAGATGAGTGCAAAAGTATCACGATGAGCAAGATCATCCCAACTATGTTGGCACCAAAAAGTCCATCTTATCATTTGCTAACACCTCCAAGTTGGTGAGGAACCAACCAAAGTAACAGAACAAAACACAATCAACAAACAGATAACAACATAGCACTCCTTTGCAACACAGCATATCAGTTCAACACTAGCATATTAGTTCATTCATCTCTCCTTTTTGTCAACCACCAAGACTCTGCAGCCTGCTTCTTCCCATACAAAACCTGATTTCCTTTAAATTAGATAGGAAATCCTAAACATTTAGATGATACACCATGAGGCAGGTATGTTTTTACTATTTTGATTTGCAATATGTTGTTATTTTTATTTTTATTCTGTAGAGCGTGTAGTACAAGAAAAATTGTTAAAAGTTCTTTAAGAATAATAATATTTCTTTATATTATTTCAGTGTCTTTAACAAATTTCAACATGATACGTATAAATTACAATTGTATTTTCATCCCAACATAATTTACACTGTGCCTTTAGGGCATCCACTAGTTATATAAAATTTTTGAAAGGTTTTTATACATTTTCACCATTAAATTGTTATTAAAACGAACAAAAATTTGTCTAATAATAATTTAAAAAAAATCAAACTAATCAGAATAATTTATTGACATATAAATTTACCACAATAATAGCACATGCTTTGCACGAGTCTAAAAATAATTTTTAAATAATCAAACAAAACAGAATAATTTATTGACACTTAAATTTACTACAATAATAGCACGTGCCTTGTATGATTCTAAAAATTAAACCAAACCAAATAATTTGTTAAAAGATTTTTATTTTTGAAATTTAAATTTACTACAATAATAGTAACACGTAACTTTTATACTAGTGTATATATATAAGTTATATTTTATGTAACGGGTATACCACGATGATGTATTCCTCATTCTCACACACTTGTGAAGCCCACACTTCTAAAACCCAAATGTACGTGAAGGAAATGGGTACACTATGGCAGTATAGACTTTACACAATCAATAATATTAGGAGTACATAAAATTTAAGACACTAATTATTCAACAATTAAAGATACCCATAAAATACCAAGTTTATATACAACAGGAAGGATTGCATGCAAACAAACAAATAAACAATAACATGAACAGTTTTAATGTACACGACATCACTTTAAGTCTTACATAATTTTATTTTAAAGTTTCTAGGGATACTGCACTACTCTAGTAGTAGAGCATCACCAGACTCTCTTCTTTTATTTATTCTTTTTCTTCTTTACTGGAACAACACATCAGTTATGATCACCCAAAATGTACAATTCTTGGAAATTCACAGATTGAAAATTTTGAAGATTGATGGGCCAAGTAGTGATCAGTTGACCTACCCTTCACAAGAATAAAGAGAAGTGACCACTTCTCATAATGTATCTATATATTTGAAATCTTAAAAATCCTCTTTTAACCCTATAAATTTAAAAGAATTATGCACATAAATGTCACTAAGTTGGTGCACCTCACATGTTTTAAAATATTTTTACATATTTTTATACCATTTTAATCTTTTTGTACGCATGCATCGAGACTGAAGATCACCCAATGAGCAATCTTGTGTATTATAGCATATCATACTTTACAGCCACCACATCAAGAGATTTCCAAAGATCTTCTGTCTCCAAATTTTTGTCCCCCAGTCTTAATAAATTTCAAACATTGAATCATGATCCAATGAAGAAAAGTGCATTGGGACACAAGGGGACAGAAAGATTTAATAGACAAAGGATCCTATGCTATATAAATTTGTTTCAATTTGGAGTGAAGAGGACTTACCATATTCATTGCATCATCATATACTCAACTTGTTTCACTCCATGATACACTCCCATCTTTTTTTCTATGCATCAGAGAATCACTCTAGCCCTGATCATAGCAGCAGTTCGAGTGATGATGGTGTAAAGTGTCGTCACTGATGATGAAGGTAGATAGTCCCGGGTCGATACAGATTCATCCAACATCTGAAATGCTATGGTGAGGAGAGTCCCTCCAATCTCCTCCCCATGCATTGTAGGCCTGTCGGGGAGGATGGCGAAGCCGGAGGACAACATCTGAACTTTATCCGGATCTCCACCATCTAGTACCGAGTTTTTTTTTTAATCAGAAAAAAAATTATTAACTCAAAGTAAAGAATTAAAGGAAGAGCTCAAGATAAAAAGCATATCCCACCTAGTACCGAGTTCACAGCAAGTATGTCAACAGGTGCATAAACCACGTATGAACCGGTTGAGTTGGTTTGGCTCTCTTGCATGTAAAATATCAGTGGTGAAGTCTACACAATTAAGCAGTGTTTTAGCAGATGAAACATGTTTGTTAAAAAAAATATTTTTCTTCGAAACAAAGTGTCAGAAGAGAAAAAAGAAAATCTGAAGCTTACATCTATTGCTATGATTGAAACACAGTTTCCAAGGTCACGGCTAGTAGTAACGTGAGCTATTTCTCGGGTATTGAGGTTGACAGAGAGCAGATCCCACTGCATATCAAACAGCAACAAGAAATTAAGAAGTATGGATGCAGGTCATACTGACATGTTAATTTGGAAAAATATGCAAGATACAACACATAAGGAATACACATAAAATATATAATTTTAAATATTTATTACATGTCAGAATATATCATTCAAAAATGACAACTAAAAAAATGTTATATAACACTTATTCTTATAAATTTATATGATTTTATTATTGTTATTTTATATCTTAAATTATTTTGTTTAAACTTATAATTAGTTTCACTGTATCTAATTGATAGATATTTTCTTAAATGGTAGACATTTGTGTTCTCCAAGTGTCCAAAAAATGTACGAATTTTAAAAAAAAAATTAAAAAATAAGACACGTTCTGACGAATGTCGAACACATGTCAGAAAGTGTCCAAAGTGTGTCAGTGTTCAACACAAATATGACACGAGTATGTCATATTCTTAAAAGTGTCCGTATTTTCTAGAATTCAACAAAAACTCATTAAAAATATTCAATGGTTGAAGATCACCACGTTAATAATAAATCGATTATTATAGTTTCACCTTTAATAAAATATGTCTCGAGATCATATCGTTTCTTTTTTTGAGAAGGTTGGCCCCCTTCTACCTCATGTGGAATCCAATCTTACACATAAAGATGCAAATTTCCAAACATATAGAGAAACATAATTCAAATGGAAAATAAATGCAAACCAAAATACTTAAACCTAAAACCTCTTCAAAAAGAACTCTCATACTATATTTGACCGCCACTAATTACAAAAGCTTAAAATGTTAATTGACCCTACAATACTTGTCACTCTCTAATGAGTGGTCTCATGCTCTCCTATCTCTTTGTCTGAACCGCACTCTCTATTACAAAAGCTAAAGAGATAGATCCTATAATAAAAAGATTATTTAAAATAAGAGAACAAAGACAATGGGGCAAATCTTTAGCCATCACAACCCCAATTTTGAGCCAAAAATCTCTCCATGCTAATTAAACTATGATACAATAGCAGCCTGAAGGTTTCTTAAAACCCTAGGTTAGACACTAAAATCAACAACTCTGTCACATTATGTGTATTTTCTGTTAGTATACGAGTATATCATTACTTTTTCTTTTAGAAAACAAATCTTTTGAAAATACATACCATGTTACGATGATCCCCATTTCGAAGGAAGTGAAAAACATGACGTGGTTGGGCTGGAACCCAAATGGTGGTTGCAACGGTTACATAGACACCAACAGGAGTTTGTGAATCATCTCCAAAGTTGTGCTTTGTTGTGACCATGATGTCCTCACCACCATCCACAGGTATTGGTTGCCATAGATTTTCAATGGGGCTGCTGCTCACGCTGCTATGGTAGCTTCTCATCATTCTATCTGCCAGCATCAATAGATTCTTCCTTCCATCTCTCAGTATCATCACTGTGGAATTAATAACAAACAGTTGAGAACTTATTAGGATATCATATTTATGAATTCATTATGATTTTTGAAAAACGCCACTTAAAGTATGGCTGGCGTTTTCCTGCCCTTTATTGGCGTTTGTAAAATGCCTCCTAATCATGTTTTTCTTGTATCGTGAGAAAAGTTTAGTTGAATAGAACTCTTGCTTTTTGTTTGGAAGTCAAGGATTTGAGAAAGTTCGTATGGATTAAACTGGCATTTTCTCTCACCTCGCCAACTAGGATGAGAGAAGTTAGCTTCGCTCATCCTATGGCTAGTGCTCTTATTAGTTCAAGTTATACCATATTAGTGTGATTAGATAGTGTTACTATTGTTCTTATTATGACTAGTGCTCTTATTAATTCAAGTTATACCATATTAGTGTGATTAGATAGTGCTACTATTGTTCTTATTAGTTCAAGAATACCATTTTTACTATGTGTCATACAAATTAAACTTTGAAATATGACCTACATTAATAATGTCATAAGTACTGCATCAATAAATAAATTAAAAACTTCGTAAAATCAATTAATTTTATATAAGATTACTCTTATCTTATGGACATTTAATTTAACTCTACCACTCTCGTCCATAAATGCAGCAACACGGTCACATTGGCGAGCTAGGGTTCCAACCCATCGTTGTGCACTAAACGCAAAACCTGAAGTGACCAGTGGCTTGAACAAATAATGTACCGATGCGTTATCCACTTCAGTGTGTTCAATCCATGTCACCTGCAAAATATTTTACAAACAACTCTTAAATGTCTCATCAACAACATTAATCATATCAGGAGAGTCTAAATGTAGGAATTTTTAAAGTTAAGTAAAATGATATTCAGTGATAGTTAAGAGATATCTGTGATAATGTCCATTTGATCACCTTCGAGTATCCATTTCCGATTCCTTGGATGAAACAGCCAGATGGCTTCCTCACAAATCTGACTGCTGGATTAGGAAAAATACTTTCCAAAGAAACATCAACCACAACCCAGGTGTTCCAGCCCAACTGCCTACAGTACCTTGCAAAGTAACTCTCTCTAGTCTCAACAAGTGGTGAGGCAACATGAAACTCTGCTGTCATCTGGAAGATCATTCAACCAAGATTAATATATTTTAAGGACTAAAGTGAAGAGAGAACAAAAATAATTATAGACTAAAATGTATATAGATTGCATGCTTTACCATGACTATAATTAACTCTATATAAATTATTGTTGCTTCACGGATATATGAACTCAGAATCCCAAAATGGAAAACAATATTAACAAGAGAGTTTGATCAAACATGAGAATTCAAACATTATGATTTGTGATTTCTCTACTTAATTAGATGTACATTCAAAAGGCAAAAACTCAACTCTAAATTCTTTAGACCGTCAATCTACTACGTACCGGGTTATTATATAACCACCATGTGTATAATAATTTCAAAATCCAGTATTGGATGCAAACTGAGTTAATTACATCAATTATTTATTTAGGAGATTCAGATTGTTATTAAGCGTGCCAATGCTACTAAACTTTCTATCACATACAAAGATTGATGCTTTAATCAATGCTAACTCAAGTTCAAGCCAGATATATTGAAGAGATTCAATATACAATCAATGCATCTCTCATGTACCCTTTTTTTTATCAACAAAACAAAAATTTTATTGGTAAAAAAAGCAAGATACATGCAAATATACATCAATAAGCCCGGGAAATACATACAGCATCATAGCTAACCCCAACGATCCCAACTAGGTTGGCACCGCGAAGGAAGCACAATCATATGCTAGCATTCGACCCGAGATTGGTAATGAACCAATCAAAGCAACCAAAAACAGAAAAAGAAAAACAAAACAGCAAACAACCACAATGACAGCAACAGTACCAGTCAGTAAGCTACCAACCAAAAACCTCAACAGCAACGCTCCCGCAGCAGCAGCATCTTTCCACCCTGACCAAATCCGTAAGCTTCCAGTAAACAGCAACTACCTTTCTGCACCTCATAACCGAATCATGCACCAGCAATTTTAATCCAAACACTACAGCAATCAAGAGCAGCTAATAGAATAAAGGCAAAAATCAGCAGCACTCAGCTGTTGCCACATCTTAGTGTGCATACAGAACCTGTATCATAATCCAGACAACAATTCCAATTTTTAACAACTTCACCAATGCCAAACACTGCAGCAATTCCAATTTTCAGCATCTTCACCAATGCCAAACACTGCACCTCATAACCGAATCATACACCAACAATTTTAATCCAAACGCTGCAGCAATTAAGAGCAACTAACAGAATAAAGGCAAAAACCAACAGCACTTAGCCGTTGCCACAGCCTAGCGTGCATACAAAACCTGTGCTCACAATGCCACTACAGGCCATCACCTAACATATACTCCGTTTCACCTGTTGGAAATTCTGCACAATATCATTAATAGAGTAACGGCAATGAGCATCCATAGCTTTCAGCCATATTGCGATCCTTACTTTAATAAGCTCAGTAAGGGTCCCACTGTTTGGATGAAAGCCTGAAAAAATACACTCATTTCTATGCTTCCACACCGACCAAATAACAGCCACTAGTAAAGTTCTCCAAATCTGACTCTCTTTCTTCCTAAATTTCCAACCCATCCACCATTGCATCAGACATTGCACATTTCCAGGTAAAACCCAGCACAATCCCCACCAACCCAGAATACTTGACCAAACTCTCCACACCAGGGGGCACCAAAGCAAGATATGATTTAATGACTCCGGTTCAGATTTACACAAAATACTGGACAAGTCAGCATTTTCTCTTAATGCTCTAATTTTATGCAAGAAATCTAATGTTTTAATCTTTCCTTTCCAACCATGTTATAAACTTAGCCTTGGGAGGGGAAAAATTATGCCAAATCAATGATACGGACCCTATTGCCGGTCCTAAAGACAATTCACAACTTTTATACACATAACACACCTTAAAAACCCCTTCTTGATCTACTTTCCATCTTGGCGTATCTAGCAGATTCATAGTCAACCTTGGCCTGTCACCTAACAGATTATGAAGTCTATCCAATTCTTTCACCTCCCACGCATGCAAGGGCCTTTTAAAACTGAATACCCACCTATTCTGCTTATTAGCCCTTGAGAGTTGCCCATTCAATGATATATCCTAATCAGTACATAGCTGATACAGTCTAGGAAACTGAGACATCAGGCTGGAGTCACCCCTTCACTTATCTTACTAGAAAAGGATTCTACAACCATTCCCAATCATAATTTCCATATACTCCGCAAAAAAAAGCTCTGCAACCTGGGATTAGACAGGACCATATGCAGAATATCCCTCCAAACAGTAGATATATTAGCAGATGTACTAAATCATGGCATCCATCTCCCTTCAACTGATCTGTACTTGTTGCAAATAACTTGCTTCCACAATGAATCATCCTCCAAGGCAAACCTCCACCACCATTTAACCAACAAGCTCTGATTTGCAAACCTTGTATCTCTAATCCCTACACCCCCTTGCTTCAAGTTCATAGTGACCTCCCTCCACTTTACCAGATGTATTTTCTTTTTCATCTCAGAGTCCCTCCACAAAAAGATTGCTTGCAATCTATCTAACTCCTTTGCAACACACTTTGGAAGCTTAAACAACGCCATGTAGTAAACAGGTAATAATGACAACATGGATTTAATGAGAACAACTCTGCTAGCTAAAGATAACATTTTCCTTTTCCATCCCGTCAGCTTTCTCTTGAAATTGTCAATAACCTAGTTGGGATTTTTGAGTTTAGCTTTGATGCTCATTGCACCTCCCTTCTCTTTTTGTTGTATGTTTTTTTGCATCTTTAGTTTTATCATTAATAAAGTTTATTTTGTTGATAAAAAAAAAAAACAGGCTTCTAACACTGCTTTGTATGTGGGTTTGCACCTAATGGTACACCAAGGTACTTTAATGGAAGATTCTGACAACAACAATTAAGCATTGAAGCAAACTCTGATACCAGCCCCTGATCCACACCTATCCCACACACAACACTTTTATGGAAATTAATCCTTAACCCAGAAACCACTTCAAAACACCTCAATACTCTTTTAACAGCAATGATTTCAGACCATTCTGCTTGACAGAAAATTACGGTATCATTTGCATACATTCAACCCATTAGCACCCACATTAACTCCCTTGAATATACTTGGAGAGTGTTTGAATACTGCCTTTGCTTGTCACTTCCAAAACTGTAGCCTATTGTATCAAACGACGACAAAACACAATTCCAACACATGTTGGACATACATCCAAAAATGTCTTACTATTTTAAATTAAAAAAAAAACTAAAAAAAACTAAAAAATTTGGACACACTTCAAACGTTTGAGAAAATGTATGTCTATCATTGAAACATACATGAAACATGTTATAGGTTTGAACAAAATAACTTAAATTTCAGTGATAAAGGAAAATCAATGACAACTTATGTTTATTTTTCTTCTTTGGACTTCAAAAAAATAATTAACTAATTAAATATGCACATAAATGACACATAATAATTGTTTATTCTTATATATATATATATATATCATATAGTAAATATATAAAAATTATATATTCCGCGTGTGTTTCTCACGTGTTGTCTTATATTTTTTTAAAAAGAACTTCATATCAACACGCGTCCGTATTCATGGTGCTTATGTATAAATCAACATTGCATAAACAATTGAAATTTCATATTCAGCTCAGTACGAAGGATGGAAAATAAGTAACATTGTTAAAAAACCTCCTCTCTCTCTCTCTCTCTAAAAACCTCCTCCCCTGGCCTATTTTTGGGCCGGCCGGCCGCAGCCTTTGGCTATGGCGGTCGGCTGGCTTAGCTCTTTCTGGCGTTTGTTTGTTAGTTTTTTCCTTTAATAAACTTGATTCCCCCATTATTTTCCCACCTAGGTGTGATTTGTGTGCTGCGGTAGACTTTATTTTTTGGTGATTCGGGGCCCGTTATAGCTGATTCATTGGGGGTAGTGGTGTGTTGTTTTCATCAGGGGCCGTCCAGGATCTTCATTCGAGTGCTCTTTTGCGCATAGGAGCTTGAGAGGTGAACTCTGGTTCAGATTTTTGGAGAAGTATCGATGCTTTGTTTGGTCGGAAACATGGGTGTCGAAGTCGATTCAGATCTGTCTGGTTTTCATTCGAGCGCTCCTCTTCGAGTGAGAGTTTGAGGAGCAAACTTCTTCCAAATGTATGGAGGTGTCCCGGTGTTTGGTCGGTGTTTGGATCTGCAGTGGGTGTGAGAAAGAAGAAGAACTTGTGATTTCAAAGATATTCTATCAGACTCAATCAAGGCAATGTAATTGGTCGGAGAGAAGTACTAGAACCACCGCCACTACCACTGGAGAAGGAATCAGCGAGTCTATTAGCGGAAGAGATAGCGGTGGCAATGGGAGTTGCTCTTCCAAGGAGGTAATTAATCAGAGAGATGATCTGTCTACTGCAGCTAATGTTGGAGCTGCAATGTCAAGTTCAAGAAGTTGCAGCAGCATAGGCGTTGGAGTTTTCCGGTGTTGGCTATGGAGTTTTCTCGATCGGATTAGCAGCATAGGTGTGGGCATTGGGAGTTGCAGCAGCATAGGCGTGGTGTGGGCAGCAGCTTAGGCGTGGGTGGTGTGGGCATTGGGAGTTGCAGCAGCATAGGCATGGTGTGGGCAGCAGCATAGGCGTGGATGGTGTGGGCATTGGGAGTTGTAGCAGCATAGGCGTGGGTCTTGGCATTATGGGTTGTTGAAAAGATTTTAGTTTGGGTGGTGTGGGCATTGGGAGGGCAGCAGAAAAGGTGAATATAATAATTGGGTTGAATAGAGGTGTATAGCAGCTTGGGTGTTGGAAAAGAAAATTTTAGTTTGTTGATAAGAGGATTGCAGGAGCAGCTTGGGTGGTTTGGTGGGTTGATTTTGTGGGGATTCATGTATTTTATTTTCTAGTTAAGTCCTTCTTAACTTTTTTTTTTGGTTTAAAAAATCGTGAGGCCAAGGGGTTAGTTGTATGGATGCGAGTAGCAGTAGTAGGAGTATTTTTGTACTTTCTGAATCTCTCTCGATGCATGTCATCTTCCTGTATCTTTAATTTCATGCTGTTAATGAAATTTTTCTTTACTGATCAAAAAAAAAAAGAATGGAAAATAAATAAATAATCACTTATAGATTACCACTTGTAGAGCTCCATCAAGGTCCCCATTCTGTCCCATTGATATTATTTCTAGCACTTTGGCTTTTGATACAACGGTAGAGAACAATTTGGCCCAGTGCTCCTGACATCAAAACAAGGGACAAAACTTATGTTACTAACCATTATTCATATATACAATAAACAAATAAATAAAACATAAATTGTATTAGTAAAAGAAGAAACCCTACCACATCCATAAACATATAAACCAGGTTGGGTGGATTCATATTAACAAGCCCGATGTCATGGGAAGCTTCGGTCTGCAAGGCTACCAGTCCATGTCCTGCTGGCAAGACATTGGCAGTGCCATTCAACTTGGCCAATTGTATAGGCCCTTCTGTTTTAAGCATCCTCAATATCTCCTCCAATGTCGGGTCAAGAGGACTAAACCTCTTCTTATATTCAACCTCATTGAGGACATAAGTCCCAGCATCTTTGTCAAGCACCCAAAAAGCTTCCTGATAGATGGCCAATTGTTTGAGTTCATCAACAGCTGCCATAGCAAGATTGAGGATTTTCTGTTTATTCACATCAGCACGAACTGAGACCGCCATGAGAAGATCACTTGCCCGAGTGAGATCATCAATCTTTAATGTTTGTTGGGACTGAAGATTGCTTGTCCAAACTGGTTCGGGCAGATATTCCTTATTGTCTTTGTCAAATGAATAATGATGAGTCCCTAGCGATGAACTGGCGTAAGCACTCTCTATCTGTAATTGATGAGGAAAGTTTTTTATTTTTTATAAGAAAAAATCACAAAAATAAAAATGGCCATTTGTTCAACATGAAAAAGGAAGCACATCAAAAATTGAATAAGCAATAGTCGTAGCAACAACTCGTGTTACTCTACAAATGAAAAAGCGAGTTTGTCAAAGGACACTCGAAAGTTGAAAACAAAGAAGGGAAACTATGTTAATAATTTTGTATCCTTATATATTATATATTTTGCTTGTGTTTTTGTATCTACTCGAAAGTTTAAAACATAGATGGGAGACAATATATTAATAATTTTTTTATATTTATATATTGTATGTTTTGCACATGCCTTTTATGTGTCTTTTTTTTTTTTTTTGTTAATTTTTGTATTGATATATCCATGATGACGTTTATTATAAATTTTTTTAAATATTTATCGGTAGTTTTTTTTTGATCGGCAAAGAAAAATTTCATTTAACAGCATGAAATTAAAGGTACAGAACGATGACATGCATCGAGAGAGATTCGGAAGTATAAAAATACCCCTACTACTGCTACTCGCACCCATACAATCAATCCCTAAGCCTCTCGATATTTTAAACAACCAAGTTAAGAAGAATTTAACTGAAAAATTAAACTACATGAATCCCCACATAATCATTCCACCAAAACCTCCAAAACAAACTAAAAAGAAACTAGACAATACCCGAGCAGCCCAACCACCCATTACAAAGTCTAAACTAATCTAGTCAGCCCACCAAAACAGAAACCACAGACCACGCCTCTGACAAAAACCACTCCACCTGCTGCTACAACTCCCAAAGCTCCACACCTCAGCTGCTAGCTCACGCCACCCCTAGGTTGCTGCTACGCCCACCTCCTCATGCCCACACCGGCCGAGAGGACACCATAACCATCGCCGGAAACAACTCCAAGCTTCTACACCCCTACTGCAGCACAAGAAAACTCCAAGCTGCTACAACTTCGCTGAGCTACACCAACACCCACTGCCGAAACCACCACACCCACAGATCACCACACTCTTCTGAAAACACAACATCACGGGCCGAGAGGACACCAAACCACCACCGGGAAAAAAACTCCATGCTTCAACACCCCTACTGCAACCCAAAAAACTCTAAGCTGCTTCAACTCTGCTGCTGACGACAGAGCTTCAACACCCACTGCCGAAACACCACACCCACAGATCACCACCATACAAAAGAAAGAAGATCACCCCTCAAACTCTTACACGAATTGGAGCGCTCGAGTGACAACCGGACAGACCAGAATGCACCCCTCAAGCTCCTACTCGCCAAAAGTGCACGAATGACAACCATGAACGACTGAAGACAAACTTGGGCGGCCCTATAGGAAGATCCTGGACAGCAAAGAAAGACACACCTAGGTGGAGAAAATGGGAGACTCAAGTTTATTGAACGAAAGAACTAACAGGCAAGCCGAAACGAGCGAGGCCAGCCGACCGCCATAGCCAAAGACGGCAGCCAGCCGGCCAAAAAAGAGGCCGGGGAAGGAGGTTTTAAGAGAGAGAGAGATTTTTTGTCTATGCACAGCCTCGGTCGAACCAAGCATTATACTTATTATCGGTAGTTAAGAAACCACATATAAACTACATGCGACTAATTTTATTTATGTATCTAATATATTAATACTTTTTTTATATTTATATATTATATATTTTGCACATGTTTTTCACGTGTCATTTTTAAAATAAAATAAAAAATTATA